GATTTGCTCGAGAAAAGGCGCAGGCAGGATTTAGCGGCTTAGCTCAAAGCGACCAATCTATCTGTGTGATTTGGGGACGGTTCCGAGGTTGAACAGCCCTTTGGCCTATCCCAGTACCCAAACTGAAAACACTCCATGTATGGAAAAAAAAGGTCAAATCACCCTCTTTCCGACCTCCTGGCATCCAAAAAGCACGACGAACGCATCAATTTGAGAGCCGTGAAACAAGGTGCGACCATGGTGCTACCATGCAATCACGTGCAAGGAATATATGTGTTCTCCTGTTTGGTGCTTTCCGAGACTTGTTGAGACGGATGCTTATTTATTCTCTTTAGGCATACCGACTGACCGACTGGACCCCGGGGGGCCTTGGCCCGATGACATAGCCAATACTTTTGGTGCCCAAAATCAAACTGATGACATAGGGTAGCTAACATTAGAGTCTATCTATATCTATATTATATATGTGGCAAGACCCTAGATAAATTCAAGGGGAGCCAACATTCCAGACCCTAGACATGTCTGTATCTTGGATCTTGTCGCAAAAATGATTTCCCAAGCTTTGGCAACTCTGCATCTGCATCTGAATTCTACAGTATTCTACAATATTAATTATATATTGCTTTTTTGAATCCTTGAGATGACTCCAGGGATGCTCATCAGGTCTTGGTCCGTTCTTCAAGGTATGTCCTTAGCTTGTGCCACTTTAGCTGCAATGTGTTGCCAGGTCAGGTCCAAACACAACAGAGCATCAAAAAATGGTGGGGTGATGAATGAAGATTAATGTCCAGGGAGATGACCTTTGCTGCTGTCCACCTGCTTGCATGTTGGCTCTTACCATTTTAGCCCAGAATCTTTAAAAAAAAACATGGCAAACACCTTTAAAGGAAACCCATGTTTTCCTGTAGTTTCCTCACACACATCCCTGGGGACTTCACAATAAAGCTTTGGCTCGAATCATCCTAAATAAAATGGGTGTCCAACATCTGGCTTACAAAGACATATCATTACCCTATGTTTTGTTCAAAGGACATATTTTGCTAAAATCCCTCCAATAAAATGGGGGTGGTCAACATCAGCCTCCTAAATCCAGACCCATTTTAGCCAAAGCATTTCAGTTTTAGCCACCACATTTGGCTTCAAAAATCAGGTCGGCTCCCGGCTAGAATCTATACTTTATCAGGGAGCCAAGCCACCCGATTTTAGCCTTCAAGCCCAACCGTCTCGTTTAATTGCCAAAAAAAGGGAGATCTGGCCAAGTCAAAATTTGGTCAGCAAACTTTTGGAGCAAAACATACACCGATCATGATCGATCCTGCTTGCATCACAAAGTATATAGATCCCGTTTCGATCTATTTGGGGAATGAGCAATGAAGACACAAAATGATTCTTTATATATAGATAGAAAATTCTATCTATTAGAATAACATCTTCTCTTTATAAATGTCTATTTTACATACCCCTTTGCTCCACGCCGAGGAATGGGATCCAGTTAGGACCCTCACCTTCCTCTGAATCAGACATGACTCACACGACACACGAGCCGCGTTCCGCAACTCCAGTGACGGCTTTCCAGCCAACCACCCTTCCCACCGCTTCCAGCGGTGAGTGGGAGTAGGCCGCGAGAGGCAACGCGCAGACGGGAGGCGTCCAAGCTGAAGCACGTTGCGCCGCACACCCCGAGATCATGTCAGGTTTCCATGGACTATATAAATAGATGATCAGTCACATGAAAAATCACGCCATGTACACATGCGTTTGCGGCACTGGTCTTCAAAAGTACCATGCCACCAACATAACTCAGATGAAGGAGAATGGATGATACTGGACCCTCTGGTGATAATGTCCAACTACCAACAAACAAAACCAAACCAATCAAAACCAAACCAAACCAACGAACCCACACACCCACCGACCAACAAACCAACCAACACAAAAAAAAATTAAAAGAAACACAAGAAAAACATAAAAAAGAAACAACATACCTCCATGCCTCAAAAATAACCAACCGCCTCAGAGACCTGTTTTTAATGGCATGGCCATTTCACCTGGCGGAACCAACAACGCTTCCGAACAAATAATAATGCCTGCAAAACCAGACCAGGTCAACCACGACCAGGTCGAACTGGTTGCTTTGCCGCTCAGAGTCGTGAACCGCCATTCGTCTGCGCGAAGTGAACGAGCACTGCGGGCGGTTTGGTGGGACATGGGTGGGACCTTTTGGGTTTGCAAGAATGATGACGAATCTTGTGAGAAAATACCAAAAAGTTCATTTTTTTCATCACTTTTCCATGTTTTGTATTATATGTTCTCCACACCTGTGTTCTTGGAGATCTGCGACGACTTGGCGGTCCGTGCTGTTTTGTGGGCCAGCTGCAGTCTCAGCGGGATGGAGATGGGCACTGGTCCCGACTCCAAGTATGGGTTTCTCAAGAAAGGGAACCCGAACCACTCGGTCCTTACTTGAGTTACCAGTGTCTTTGGTGGATCTCTTATCATGTTTAGTAACCGAGGTTGGAATGCTGCAAAGGCTTCCCCAGCGGATCCCAGTGAGCACTGGTGTTCGGTCTGAGGTGTTCGGTCTGAGGTACTGGGACTCCCGGTCAAGGCGTGGTTCTTCAAGCTGAACGAACTTGAATTCCCAGTTGGTACAGGTCACCGTCAGTCACCTGGAGGCTCCAGGGTCACCCACCGAAAGAAGCAGGGTGGGTCACCCACCTGGTGGATCTGCTGGGCCAGTCTTCGAGCTGGGCTGAGCCGTGCGAAACGGAACAGACGTGCCGATTCAGTGCCGAGCCAAACGGGGTTGCTCCAGACCGTTTTCCGTTGGAATATCGGGGACCCTCCAAATAGGAGGGCAAGCAAAACACAGGTGCTGTGTGTGCTGTGTATTTGTCGGACTTGCCCACTCATCCACTGAACTGCCGGACTCCCTCCGCGCTCGTTCCCCTTCCTTAGAGCAGAAAGTCAAAGCTTTTAGATGCTTCGACTGGTGGAAGTCATTGGTTTCACATGGCTTCACTATACCCTACAGGTCCAGTCTGACTCAGTAAAGCCTGGTCCTGAAAACCAGTGGCAGTGACTGGGCAACCTGTTTTTTCACCTCAAAATGTTAACCTGCTTTTTTCCACCCTGCCGTTGTTTTCCTCCTCATCTGTTTGTCACCCTGGGTCACCCTCTGCCCTTTCTTTTTCTTCTCACCCTCTGCCCTTTCACCCTCCACCCTGTTTTACCATTAATCATTAGCCCTCGCCTCTTTCTTTTCCAATTCTTTTTCACCCTCCCTGCCTTCCACCGTTGCACAGCTCCTTTCGGAGGCAAACTCCAGATTCGGACGGTCTACCGTGTGCCTTCCTCCGAGAAGCCAGTTCTAGACCTGCCTCACCTTCGGCCCCCCAGTTTTGGGAAGCAAAGCAACAGCACTGTTTTTACCTGTAAATCAACCGTTTTTCCCGCATTCCCTTTTTTTTCACCCTTTACCGCTCCACCTTCCAGGTCAGTGAAACTACTCACAACTGCTCGTTCGCTTGCGTTGATGTCCGAAGCTTCCCGTCTCGAACGCCGAACCCCCCTCAGACCCCTCAGATCACACCAACCATTTGTGTTGCTGCTGTGGTTTTGGTGGGTGGACAACTAGCAGAGTGAAGGAGTGTGGGCTTCGAAAGTGGAGCAAAAGGGGTGAACAAAACATCAGATTCCAAAGGCTCTGCTTCCTTCTGAGGTTTCCAGGTTGGTTTCTGGAGCTTCTGGGAACTACTACTGCAGGTTGTGGGTGAGGACCTGCCGAAACCGGTGAGGGTGGGGAAAAACACCAGGGAGCCCATGTTGGTCCTGAAAACCAGTGACTCAATCCTTTGGCCTAGATTGGGGCCAATCTGCAGTATGAAGATGTCCCCAGGGCAGCCCAAGCTTGTACTACCTATGAACCTCATGTTGGTAGTGTTTTTGTAAGATCGACCCCAGTAAAATCACTGGGGAGATGTTTCACTCGCGGTTCCTTGTGGAAACCGTCCATGTCCATGTCACCCCTTGGTCTGGAACCTCTAAAACTAGAAGAACCCGTGCTCCTGCTTGACCCAGTAGAAGAATCTGCCTAATTCACAGTTGGTTTCCCTGGTCAGCACAGTTAGTAAGGCGCATGGTATCCTATTCTGCTATCCATTGGGAGAAAATGACATGACCAGGACGCTTCTAAACGATTCAAGACAACTCCTGCCATTGCTGGCCCGGCCCATACATTTTGATTGGACGGTGATAATTGTTCCCCTGACGAGAACGGTCAATCTGAATGTGTTTGGTTTCTGAGTGTTTGACAACTGTCACTGTCAAAACTATTGGTATTGGCATTGGGATCCCCCAATTTTGAAAAACACATGTTCACCGTGCTCACTCATGTTAAGTGTACACACACAACAAAGGTTTCCACCAAAGCTTCTGAGATTGGCAAAAATTCTGAAGAACACAGCACTGCATGTCCATTGTCTTGTCTTCTCGTGAGCCAGGTAGATGATCCAAACTGACACCCGATGTGTTCATTGATGCAGACTCTTGTTCAATAACCCCCGATATGAAGAGATGTTGCAATCCAAATGGTGGAGTTAATCAATATGAAACCCAACGACTTCGCTTGAGCTTTTCCTGGTTCAAATGGCCTATATTCGATTGAGAATTTGGAAAATATACAGGAGATACTACAGGAGATGTATTCTGGCAAACCTGGATTCCAAAATAGAAAAGCATCACCTTCCTCAAGTCCTCAAGAGAAGGTCCATGTATATATATAATATATATATATATATCTCTATGGTTCAATGAATCAGCTGCTCAAGGGAGGGCCTGCAGCTGCTAAATAGAGTAGGAAGTGCTGTTGCCGTGGCAATGGGAGGATATGGCCAATGCACTGGCCAATGCGTCTTGGTCAAAACACAAGCGCCAATTTAGACCAACGTTTAAATAAAATGACAGTATCTGTGGGGCGACCGGTAGAGTAGTCGGGAATTCTATTTTCCGTGTTAGCAACAGCCCCTACCCTCCCTATGCCATGCAACCACCCACTTCTGCCGCTGCAGGCAATCACAGGTGCACCACGCTCCGCTCACAGTGAAGAATGTTTGGCCCGTTCTCCTCAGTTGGGCAGTTGGCAGGCCCAATGGCAAAAGTCACCCAAAACGGTTCAACATGGTGGAAAACTGTCTGTGGACTTCACTGCAACTGCTCGGCTACAGCCATCCTTGGTCAATCAGGCAGGGCCCAGCCAGAGTGGGGCGCCAGTGTGTGATCGAAAGCAGGCTCAGCACTGGAACTCTACGAAGCATATGATATGTGGCCGTCCAGGACGCCTGTCGCTCGACACGCCGCAGTCTCTACCGCGAGTTTCTTGGGACGCGCGACAGACTGACCAACTTCCCATCGGAACGACGCACATTGCGCTGCCTGTCAGATGGAGTGATGCCATCAGCCAAACCCTATAAGTAGATCCTGGGGGCATTGTCCATGAGGTGCCAACGATGGTCCAAATTCACCACGAGGTGCCTTTTACACATCCAGGCCACGCTGGATTGCAAGTGGATGCCAAGCTAAGATTCACTAGGTCACAAGGCCAAGAGCTTGTCTATTCACATTCAAAACCAACAAAAAGGCCTTCACCCGAACAGCCCAAGGGAAACCCATATTTTCGGGATCAGTCCCAGACTGTCCCACCCCGTCTGCATGAGGTGAAGGACGAGGACGCCCGTTCCACCCATTCCAAACCCATGTTGCTCAAACATGTGCCGTATTACTGGTGATAATTCTTCCTCAGAGGTGTGAATATGACATAATTTTGATTTTTGGGTTTGCTTCCAGTATGTCACCAAATCATATTCCCTGGCGGTCAGTCCAATGTTCTAACCTGCGCCATAGCCAAACACAAGTGGAGAAACCAGGAAACAGTTCAGCAAAAACCCATGGAGGTGTTCAGCAAACCCATGGATGTGTTCAGCAAACCATGGAGGTGTTCAGCCCATGGAGGGGTTCAGCAAACCCATGGAGGTGTTCAGCCCATGCAGGGGTTCAGCAAACCCATGAAGGTGTTTAGCAAACCCATGGAGGCGTGCAGCATGTAGAAAATACACATTGAGTATTTCTGTAAGAGACCTTCCCAGAAATCATGCACGAAAGAAGTACCAACAATCATAGGGAATGTTTGAACGTGCATCATCCAACCCTTTCCAGGGCAAGTGGGTCACATCGCTACACGACAAACAAGGTAGTCTGCCCTTTCACCCGTTACATACTCTCCCAACAAACGTCCAAGTGGAAAGTCCCCTGCCTGTAGAACATAGAGGAAAGTATCAACAGTTGGCCAAAAGATCGTTTCGTCATGAGTGTTGGTTAGGATGGTCGGTCTTAACTTAGCGGGGTACATGTGTGTTAACTTGCCAGGGTTCGCAAGCTCTAGCTCCTTGACCACATGTCTCCACATGTCTCAGACCCGCCACGTCGCCATAGGGCGCCAAGAGTCATAGAGGGCGCCCTGACAGGCGGGGGTGGTGTGCCGTAGGAAGGCAGCATCCATGCGCTGGAGGTACCTGAGCCGGTCTGTCGGCGGTTTTTTCTTCCCCCTACAGGTCAATAACCGGTCCAAACCAGGTGACATTGGATGACATTGGATGTGAGGTCGAACTGACCTGTCAGCCTGTACGAAGGTCCGCGTTTTTGTTATTTTTTGGCGCTGTCCACGCGCGCAATTTCTGGTTTTTTATGTTTTTTCTTATGTTTTCACCGCTGCGCGGACGAAGGGTGAAGCGGGCCAATGAACACACAGTGTGGGAAGGGTGGGGGGATTGGGGGGAGGGCAAGGGTTTGACTTGCGCATCGTCGATCACTAACGCCTCGATGATTTGCTCATCGTTGCGCATCAACGCATCAATGCACTTGAGCATCGCATAGATTGTCCCTGACTCCCTGAAACGTCGATCTTGATTGTCACGCTTGCCATTGACCACCATTGGTCGGCAATGCTTCCAAACATACTTGTTTCCAGAAGATAGACAAATAGCCGTGTTCGATTAACCACATGGATACTCAGCAGTTCTGAGACGTCGTTCTTTGGTCACGTGTTGATGTTTGTGTACAAGACGCCCGAACTCGACAATGTGAGGGTGAAAGCGGCGAAATGAATGCTATAGAATCGCGTGCAGCACCGCGAAATGGTCTCACTGCAGGACCTTTTGTGGGGGATCCTGCGGTGAACAAGTAAGACACGGTGCACGGTGCATAGGCGAGACCATCTTCACAGTGCACAGGCGGGACGCCCCAACCATGCTTCGGCCTTGATAAGGGCAATCAGCCTGGTGAGAGGTACTTGGCCTTCTTTGGGGGTTTGGTGCAAGCAGCCTCTCTACACACACACACAGACACTGAAGAGAACTTGGCGCAGGCGCAGCCTCTCCCAACTTCACCAGGTCACAAGTGGAATGATAGTGTTGGCTTTGGTGCTTTAAGTGTCTAATCGTCTGTACATCTTACACTACTTTAGCTCTTACCTCGTTAAAGCCGAGAACTAGCACCTACCTCGCAAATTCTACATTTAAGGTCTCAACACCACAGTGTCACACTACAGTCTTAAAACAAACGCAACCCCAATCTCGTCGCTGACCTCGCAAAATACGAAGGCCGCCGTGGTCGCTGCAATTTGCGCCGAAAAGTATGCCGTTTGAACTGAATCACAAAATGTCTGAAGACCTGTAATACCCCGGTGCCTGTGTCCTCACTCTACCTCGGACCAACCACTCAAAAAATTGCAATTTCCTATCAAAAGAAAGGTCAAATGGGTTCTATAGGTACCTGGTGCCCGGTTCCTCAAAGTGACCGAACTTGATATCCTAGTTAGCGATCACAAACGGGCCTGTAAAGGGTCACTTGGGATACTCAGGTCATTTGAAGAAGCTCAAAACCGGTCTCAGGTGAACATCGTGCACCTTCCTGTTCCATAGGGTATGGAACGGATCCCTTGTTCCATAAGGTATGGAACAGGTATGGAACAAATTGTACCAAAAACCTGACGTGTCATCTCAGTCCCGTTTCTCACGCTAAATAGCAAAGCGCACGTTTTGATTGAACCTCGAACAATTGTAAACTAGGAATCCATAGGTATGGAACGATGGGTATGGAACGGCGAACAGACATGGTGTTCCACAGGTATGGAACGGGGTATGGAACGAATCTCTCTCTCTCTCTCTCGCGCGAGGGATTGAGATGGATTGAATCCGGAATCCGGTAGCGAAACGGCGACGGAATATGAGGGAAGCCATATATATTATACAACATATTTACAACATCATTAATATGCCAGATGTCATTACAGCTTACAGAATTCATAAGGCTTGAAAAAGCTGACGGCCCTGGGGCATCACAGGACGGTCAATTCACGCTCCGTGGAAACGGCTGCGGGACCTCGTCGTCGGGTCATCTAAGTGCGATGACCTGGTCGCGTGCGCGCGCCACTGACGTCCGAGTCGCGATTGAGAGATGCCACTCGAGTCAGACGTTTGCCGTTCTGAGCAAGACGCAACGCGAAGGGCGGCACGCCGTTCGACCACGCGGTGGAGGTTTCCGAGGTTGGGGAACTGGGAATGCGGGCTTTCAAAGGTTCAAAACGACAGGAAGAACGGCATGTTTTAGACGCAAAATTCCATGCAACAACATGTAAACCATGTTGTTTGCATGTAGAAACACGCATTGTGAATCCTTGTCGAAGTGTATTCAGTGTTAAAGATCAGGAACAACAACTCATTGGATTGGGTGCCAGAAACGTTAATAATTGCAAATGCCTCCAACCTAATAGCGATGGCAATATTCCTTCAAGAACTCTCTTCAACAACTGCTCGGTTCCCAGACAATCCCGAAAATTTGCCCACAAATGCCATTTAGGATACCTGGACCCTCCTGTCGGGGTGTCCTGGCTGGACTACCCCACACTACCTATAGGCTTGCACCCCGACAGGAGGGTCCTGGTATAATTGGTGTCTCAAATCGACACCATAGCGGTGTAGCCACGGTCGCTGGGTTCCTTCACCACTCAAACCCTCCGCGCGTCGGCCACGCGCGTCGCGCGTGGCGCGTCGGCCACGGTCGACTGGCTCGGTGTCCCGGACGCATCATGGCGTCGCTTCCCAGCCTGAAACAAGAAGACGAGGGGACCGAGGAGGGGGAGAGCCTTTGTGAGGTGGGTCGATGTTCTCCACCCAGCCCAGTAGGAAGAGGAACAGGGCTGTGACTGGAAGACTTGGGGAGCCTAACAACCAGGGAAAAAGGGACCAGGCAAGAGGTCGGATTTTGGGGGGTCAGGTGGAGTCCTACCATGCCATTCTAAGACAGCTGGTGCCCCAGCGGACAAGCCCGATTTTTGACGACTCCACGCCGTCGTGCGGGGCCGGTCATGTGGAACCACGGCTCTGAGTGGTGAATGCAGGGAATGCAGAGTGACCTAAAGCCCAAGTAACAATCCTGAACAAAAACATATATGATATATTATGATATACAATCAGGGTGTTTGGTACTCCAAATCAGGTGTCACTCAGGCGTGTTTGCGGGATGTAGAATTCAGAACCAATCAGGGATCTGCCTCCAGCAGCACAAAACCACCTAAAACACCACAATCAATACTAGCATTCTCACGGGGCAGGTCATCCATTTCGGACATCCGAAATAGGATCCGATATCGTCCTTGAGATCCCAGGATGATGTCACGAGGCCAGGCCTACAAAAGGTCACCTAGAGTCATACTCCATAGAGGTCACGAACGGCTCAGGTCCTAGGGTCCTAGAGCCGATCAGGGCTTCTTTTTGTGCCCATAGAATGCACATGGGAGATGATTCCGATGACCAAACACTCCATGTATGCCTATATTTGACCACCCCATCGGGTGGTTTGGGGGGGTCAATGGAGGGTCAATGTCTGGGATTTGGACTGGGAGATGCCCAGTCCAACTAAGTACACCTAGAAAGACATGACCCCTGTTTTGGAGCCAAAGCATGGCCAATGGTCTTTTCTGATCAAAACAGAGGTCAAATGGGTTCCAGGCCAAACAACCCCAAAAGGGCGACATAGTTTTAATTCTTTCAGCTTCAAACCCAGCCATCCACCTGTTCGGTCGGTCCACAGACCAAGCTTTATGTGTTTTTTTGTGATTTCTTTGTGATCCGTCTCTCATTCCACAAAGGAACGAACGAAAGCATCCCCAAGACACCCTCTTCCTCGCGGTTTCGGCATGTTTTCGGTGACCTCCAAAGCTCTTTAAGGATTCGGTTTGACAGGGACTCGTTCACAAGGATTCTGTTTGACGCGGGCCTTCCTCCCTCTCCCTTGTGACGAAGCTATGGCGCCCGAGCACGGCGCATGCTTCGCACGCGGCGCACGGCGCGCCGCCCGGGAGACCGGCGCACGCTTCGCACGGCGCCGCCCCGTTCGACCGCCGAGGCACTCCAGTTCGTCTTGTTCGACCACCGGCTTCTTGGGGAAGGAGTTGCGGCTTCGACTCCGGCGCTGTTCCAACGCTTCGGCCTCGCACTTCTCCAAGGCTTCGGCTTCGGCCTGGCTTCTACGTGCTTTGACGAGTGGGTGGAGTTTGATGTCCAACATGAGATTGGATGAAGCCCATCTTTCAGTCGACAGCTTTCAGAAACATTATTAGAAAGATATTGAAGGGAAGGACAATGAGATCGACCAAACAACAACCTGAACATATAAACAACACAGTCCAACAAGCTTTGAAGGGAGAATGATTGGCTACGGCTACAGTATGTTGGCTGCTCTCTTCAATTTCGTTTGTGTTTCAAATGAGACCAACCGCATGAAGCCAAATTAAATAGCATCCCAAAAGCACTTACCACTGCAAGCAGCCAGCAGCTGGTCAAACCTTTTGTATAGTTGTCTGGATCTAATTACTTGGTTTCTTACACGTCGAGTGGCCATATCATGTCATATATATTCCTCATTGTGACATATCCATCTCTGCTCTACACTAAACCATCCCGACAACATGACATGGGAAGTGGTTCCCATTGACATCAAGGTCCTGGGCTGCCTAGGGGCGCGCCACAGAAATCCGCGCACCTGAAACTGCCAGAAACCGCCACAAAAAACCAACTATATGCCAGAAGGGGATTCATCCATAATGTGGACCTCAAATTTATAAACGCCCCTAGAATAATGACTTTATTTTTTCCTGCACAGATTTATAAAGGCCCCCAGAATAATGTATGTTCTTTTTGGGAGGGGTAGTTATAGTGGGATATTGTTTATTGTTATAGTTTACTTTTCCCTTTTGATTTGCTTTACTCACCCTCTATTCCTTATTTACTTGTCCTAAGCTCTTTAGTTTTGAAGCTTTCCAAAAGTTTACAAAAGTCA